GCTAATCCGGTTGCACACCAAACACAGGACTATAGTCCTGTCCAGTCCAAGCCTTGCTAATCCTGTCAAACAAACGTGCCCTAAAAAAATACTATAATAATTATATATATATTAATTTAACAATTTTATACCCCTAAAAACTAATAAATATTATATATATATATATATATATATATATTAACTATAATAATTATAATAATTATAATATACTATAATAATATACCCAAAATATTTAACTATAATAATTATATATATATATATATTAAAATTTTATACCCCTAAAAACTATAAATTATTACATACAAAATAAATAGATTTAAATCTACTTAATAAAATAAAATATATATAATATACACACACACACCATTGAACTTCATGGGATACGAATTATACGAAACTAAAACTAATTTCAACGATCCAAATGTCAAACATGTTTGTATATACTTCGAGATCGCATACGCCAAAAATTGCAAAAAAACAAACATTCAGAGAGCAAGAAACGAGACAAAACTTTTCGACGGTTATAAACTAAAAATCACGATTTGACGGTCATTTTAACTCCGATTTTGATGATTTTTTACAATCACACTCCTTGACCCTATATGAATACAATGATTGAATTCGTACTTCAATTTAAAATATTTACACTAGTGGATACCATAAAATCTTATGTTATACTTAATAAAAGTATGAATAAACTCTTAAGTATTAGTGAATCTATTGTTTTGATGGGATACTCATTCTACAAAACTAGTTTTAATGATCCAACCGTCAAACATGTTTGTATATACTTCGAGATCGCATACGCCAAAAATTGCAAAAAACAAACATTCAGAGATCAAGTAATGGGACAAACGTTTTCAACGGTTATAAACAAAAAATCACGATTTAACGGTTAATTTAACTCCGATTTTGATGATTTTTTACAACTACACTCATTGACCCTATATGAATACAAGTAATGAATTCGATCTTCAATTTAAAATATTTACACTAGTGGATACCACAAAATCTTATGTTATACTTAATAAAAGTATGAATAAACTATTAAGTATTAGTGAATCTATTGTTTTGATGGGATACTCATTCTACGAAACTAGTTTCAAAGATCCAACCGTCAAACATGTTTGTATATACTTCGAGATCGCATACGTCAAAAATTACAAAAAAAAACATTCAGAGATCAATTAACGGGACAAAACTTTTCGACGGGTATAAAAAGAAAAATCACGATTTAACGGTCATTTTAACTCTAATTTTGATGATTTTTTGCAGCTACACTCCTTGACCTTATATGAATACAATGATTGAATTCGATCTTCAATTTAAAATATTTACACTAGTGGATACCATAAAATCTTATATTATACTTAATAAAAGTATGAATAAACTATTAAGTATTAGTGAATCTATTGTTTTGATGGGATACTCATTCTACGAAACTAGTTTCAATGATCCAACCGTCAAACATGTTTATATATACTTCGAGATCGCATACGCCAAAAATTGCAAAATCAAACATTCAGAGATCAAGTAACGGGACAAAACATTTCGACGGTTATAAACGAAAAATAACGATTTAACGGTCATTTTAACTCCGATTTTGATGATTTTTTACAACTACACTCCTTGACACTATATGAATACAATGATTGAATTCGATCTTCAATTTAAAATATTTACACTAGTGGATACCACAAAATCTTATGTTATACTTAATAAAAGTATGAATAAACTCTTAAGTATTAGTGAATCTATTGTTTTGATGGGATACTCATTCTACGAAACTAGTTTCAATGATCCAACCGTCAAACATGTTTTTTATATATTTCGAGATCGCATACGCCAAAAATTGCAAAAAAACAAACATTCAGAGAGCAAGTAACGTGACAAAACTTTTCGACGGTTATAAACGAAAAAATCACGATTTAACGGTTAATTTAATTTAACTCCGATTTTTGATGATTTTTTACAACTACACTCCTTGACCTTATATGAATACAATGATTGAATTCGATCTTCAATTTAAAATATTTACACTAGTGGATACCATAAAATCTTATGTTATACTTAATAAAAGTATGAATAAACTCTTAAGTATTAGTGAATCTATTGTTTTAATGGGATACTCATTCTACAAAACTAGTTTCAATGATCCAACCGTCAAACATTTTTGTATATATTTCGAGATCGCATACGCCAAAAATTGCAAAAAAAAAAACATTCAGAGAGCAAGTAACGGGACAAAACTTTTCGACGGTTATAAACGAAAAATCACGATTTAACGGTTAATTTAACTTCGATTTTGATGATTTTTTACAACCACACTCCTTGACCTTATATGAATACAATGATTGAATTCGATCTTCAATTTAAATATTTTACACTAGTGGATACCACAAAATCTTATGTTTATACTTAATAAAAGTATGAATAAACTATTAAGTATTAGTGAATCTATTGTTTTGATGGGATACTCATTCTACGAAACTAATTTCAAAGATCCAACCGTCAAACATGTTTGTATATACTTCGAGATCGCATACATAAAAAATTACAAAAAACAAACATTCAGAGATCAATTAACGGGACAAAAATTTTCGACGTTTATTTTATAAAAAGAAAAATCACGATTTAACGGTCATTTTAACTCTGATTTTGATGATGATTTTTTGCAGCTACACTCCTTGACCTTATATGAATACAATGATTGAATTCGATCTTCAATTTAAAATATTTACACTAGTGGATACCACAAAATATTATATTATACTTAATAAAAGTATGAATAAACTATTACGTATTAGTGAATCTATTGTTTTGATGGGATACTCATTCTACGAAACTAGTTTCAAAGATCCAACCGTCAAACATATTTGTATATACTTCAAGATCGCATACGTCAAAAATTACAAAAAACAAACATTCAGAGATCAAGTAACGGGACAAAACATTTCGACGGTTATAAACGAAAAAATCACGATTTAACGGTCATTTTAACTCTGATTTTTTTGATGTTTTTTTACAACCACACTCCTTGACCCTATATGAATACAATGATTTGAATTCGATCTTCAATTTAAAATATTTACACTAGTGGATACCACAAAATCTTATATTATACTTAATAAAAGTATGAATAAACTATTAAGTATTAATGAATCTATTGTTTTGATGGGATACTCATTCTACGAAACTAGTTTCAATGATCCAACCGTCAAACATGTTTATATTTACTTCGAGATTGCATACGCCAAAAATTGCAAAAAACAAACATTCAGAGATCAAGTAACGGGACAAAACTTTTCGACGGTTATAAACGAAAGATCACGATTTAACGGTCATTTTAAGTCCGATTTTGATGATTTTTTACAACTACACTCCTTGACCCTATATGAATACAATGATTGAATTCGTACTTCAATTTAAAATATTTACACTAGTGGAAACCACAAAATCTTATGTTATACTTAATAAAAGTATGAATAAACTCTTAAGTATTAGTGAATCTATTGTTTTGATGGGATACTCATTCTACGAAACTAGTTTCAATGATCTAACCGTCAAACATATTTGTATATATTTCGAGATCGCATACGCCAAAAATTGCAAAAAACAAACATTCAGAGAGCACGTAACGGGACAAAACTTTTCGACGGTTATAAACGAAAAATCACGATTTAACGGTTAATTTAACTCCGATTTTGATGATTTTTTACAACTACACTCCTTGACCTTATATGAATACAATGATTGAATTCGATCTTCAATTTAAAATATTTACACTAGTGGATACCACAAAATCTTATGTTTATACGTTATAAAAGTATGGTATAGTACTATTGTTTTATTTTTTTTCATAATTATTTTGGTAAACTTCTCATAATTTTGAATGATGATTTTAATGTTTGGTTTTTCTATGCTTAGTTTATGCAGAAGATAGTTATGACGTGGAAAACCTTACTGAAAATATCATCAACATAACTCTTGAAGGTAATAGATCAAGCCAAAGTTCCAATTTCATGATGATCGATGTAAATCGAGGATTTTGTAAATTAAGGTTTAAACTTTTGAGAAAGATTTCACAACCTTGAAAACAAAAACTGTTTCATTTTGCATATCCTTGCACATTTAAAATTTGTAATAGATTAGTAGTGTATGTATTATTTTTTTATTAGGCTCTTATTTTCGAGTGTAGATGTAGTACTTAAACGACAAATGTGTTTTAATGTTTTGAAGTAATATTTATGTGGCAATGTGTGGTATGTGCAAATTTAAGAAAAAAAATATATTTTTCTTAACGGGTCATAACGGGTCGGGTCACTTTACCCGTTGGGTAAAGTGACACGACCTGTTAAGGACCCGTTAAGATAACGGATGTGACACGACACGACCCGTTAAGATAACAGGTGTTACACGAAAACGACACGAACACGACTGACACGACCCGTTTGCAAGACCTAATTAAATATCAAGCTCTTTTGATTAAATAAAAGTTTATGATGGTTTTTTGTTAAGAAAAAGTTGGTCCAAACTCTTTTTATTAAAGTTTCCTATTAATTAACTAGGATTGTTGATATTCAAACATATAACCAAAAAGATAAGATACTTAAATCATTGATTCACTGTGCATGCTTTGTTTTAGAACGCAGTATAATTTAAACTGTAAGATGAACAATGAACATATACTTGAATCAACATATAAAAACGAGCCTAAAGATGAAATGATGTTGATTCATCAGGCTTAGATGATAAAACAAACTCTAGTTGAAGAATCTAATTGAAAAATGATGTGATATCCAAGTGGTAACCGCGATAATGTTTATATATATCTCAACAGATCTTTTTTGTAGGTTAAATGACTTGCTGAGTATCCTCCTTTGGACTTTCTTAACTAGGGAAATTGTGTAGCTAGTGTTGCTTGGATGATTAGTCCTTAAACGTCTACTTTTCCGCTTAACTACATAAAAGGAAAGTATGTAAAATTATAGCTTTCTTAATTAGGGAAATTGTGAAGCTATAGTTGCTTGGATGGTTAATTATTAACTTGTTACAAGTACTTTGTTACATAATGCACACCATTATATGTGCTGCCAAAGACGTGATTTTTAAAATTAAAACTATAGCTTTTTATCGATGATCAAGCAATACAATACAAAACAGCCCTGATGATATCCGGTAGCTGATCAAACAAGAAGAAAATAAGAACTGAAATAAACTGATAACTTGGTCAACTGATGTACCACGACCTTATTGCATCGTATGTCTTATTGTAAACACTAGCAGATATATATGCCTTGTAGCAAGGAAGCACATATATGCTTCAATCATGGGCAGAAGACAACCTTGTAGTTAGCTCCACCAGGACATGTAAATAGACTGGTTGGGTCATCCTTAGGATAACTATAAGCATCCGGGCACCGACTCTTAAAAAACTTAGAAAAGTCTGTAGGGCCACAATTTCCAGAATTGCAACAATATTGATCAGTCTTGAACACAGTGCAAGGGTTGTTGCAGCCTCCTGGAGCCCTCAGTTGGTTAGGGCACTGCCCGTTAATATCAGCCGTGCACCTAATCCTCCTAGTGCACCCACCAGACGTGGGACTAAATTCCATAGGTACATTAAACCCATCAACAAGAGAGATGTCAATGAAATCCAAGTTGTTAAATTGATTAAGGGCATATTCAGCTAGGGTGTTTGGTGGTTGACCATAGCCTTGGCATTGGAGGACACCCCCACAATCACCCGTTTGGCATTTGCCACGTCCTGCTCCATCGAAGTTGCATCCCGTCCGGCCCCAAATGCGAGCCCCTTTGGTACCAGCACTCACATCTAAGGCCCAGGATTGGCCTTTGCCGAGCTGGCGGCCACCGCCTGGCACAGCAGCTGCCCATACAGTGTAGGCACAGTTGTTTTGGATGTCAAATCGAGCTGCATTGGTTGATGCAAAGAAGAGAATGGCACATAGGATGGAGAAAACTAAGAGGCTTTTAAGGAGGCTCATTGTGGGAGCTAAGCTTTACCAAAATTTGTAGTTTTGTATGGTTGTGTTTTGAATTCTAAGGTGGCTCATGAAGTTATATAGAGCATTCGTAGTACTTATGTTCGTCATCAAATGACGTTAGTTTATTAGCTCAACATTTCCGCCTAGGCCCACCGCGTCAAGTTTCCACAAGAAAAAAGTGAGAGACTTTTCCAATAAATGATAAATATCTCCAATTTTCTCTTTTTATACTATATCTTTTTAGTATTACTTTTTATTGAATAAATCAAAGAAGAAGTTATGTATAAAAATTTGTAAAAAATGTGTACGAAAAAAAAAAGTGAATTTTTTTCTCACCATTGCACAAATGGTGGTAATCGTTTCTATCATACTTATTATTATTAGATGAATTTTAATATTTAGATTTATATTTATCTATTACATAAATTTCAAAATTTAAATTCATATAATCGTAGAATTGTGACTATCATCATCACTTGAGGGCAGTGCAAAAAATATTTCTTTTGTTTTGGTAAACTAAATCAGTGAAACACGAGAACTTAATTGTGCAATAGTTGCTTAGATGAAAATGCTACTACAGTAATGAGGAATCACTAGAAACAGATTTTTCCAAAATCAAAGCGTAAAATGTAGCCAAACCTACCCAGTTTGTAAACAGTTGGAATATATACGCCTATTCTTTACAGATTACAGAGAATTAAATTAAATTATTATTTATAGGGTTCTAAGTTCAAATTATTAGTTTGAATTACAATATTTTTATATGAAGGTGATTGGGAATCAGCTTTTCCGAGTTGTTGAAGATGGTACTGATTAGAATTGGTGGTTTCTTAACTTTCAGCCATCGCTGAGAATCCAATCACCCTCTTCTTAATTAGTTCTAGGCTTGGAGTAATGGGGTTTAGTTATAAATTACTAGGCATACAACATTGAGTGGTACGGATCTCTCAATTGACGAGCTCCGGCCACAGAGGTCTCGAGTGGATCTCCTTCCACCTAGGCAAACAACATTGGTGACTACCACGTACCACGATGGATAGCCACAGAAAAGTCTCAACGAGCAGAAATTAAATCTAAGCATCAGGCTAGCCACACAATATTATTTCACTTCACGTGGATACAGATTTGATCTACTCTACCATTATTGCCGGACCTTATAATACTACCAAGTCAAGCCTAATTTGGTCCAAAGTGATATATCAATGCCATAGGAAAAAGTTTGTCAACAGAAGTTTGGCAAATAGCCTAATCAAATGGTATATTTCTATGGTAGATGCTTTGGCATTAGCCTAATCAAATGGTAAAATCTATGGTAGAAGAAGATGATTGATAGTTGTGGAGTCAAAAATAATTAAGAGGCGACACGTGGATTTTTGGGTTAAAATGACAAAATTACCCTCGAGGCATACCGGAATCCTTACACGCGAGCAATAGATAATCATCCCTTGATCAAGTCAAAAGTGCCCAAATAGGTATTTATTTATAACTTATTTCATCCATCCCTCATCCTATCTTCTCCACAAGGTAACCCCTAAATCATTCATTTTTTATTATATTAATTAGCTAATTAATTGATTAATTATTCAATTAATTTGCTAATTAAACACAAATCATAAACTTGACCCACAAATCCATCCAAGTGGCCGGTCCATCTCCTCCCAAGGTGGCCAGCCACACCTGATGCGATGAAAGTTAAGGACTCAAATTAAACCCTCTTTTGACAATTTTAGTATATGTATAAGTAGGGATCATTCTTAAACCGAGGATTAGGAGAGCTTGCTAAAACCTCTAAACTTACTTAAAAACATAAAAATAAATTAAAAACGTTTGAATAGACTCAAGGGACTCAAAACAGATTCTAAAGACTCAAAACTGCCTAAAAACAAAAACTAGGCAGTTTCTGACTCTAACACAACTTTGGACGAAATTTGGTTTTTTTGACTTGACTCAAAACACTCTAAAACACAAACAAAACAGATTTTAACACTTTGAAACAAGAAAGTAAAAGGGAGATTTTAGTTTTGATGAATTTGAAACAAACAAACAACTTATAAAATTAGACAGATTGTAAAACGAATTTAAGAAATGAGATGATGGATGGATTAGTTAGAGGTCCGTTCTTCACACATGACACACTTGGATATGAATCGATTTCCAATTGCTTTTCAATTAACTATGATGCTCAAACCCCAAATTAACCGTGATGCACAAATTAACCCTCAGATTTTCCTTTACTCATTGAGTTGGATGAATGCATGCAACAACCCAAATCATTCTCTAAAAGTCCCCTATATGAATGCATAATAGAGATACAATCAGAGATCATTACGGTCAATGAAAATCATAAGTGTTGACGAGGCAATTATAACTATGAATGCATGATACATTTGCCAAGAATTCAATTAACGCGATTGTGATAAACAACCTTCACTACTCATGAATATAAACTTGTAATGATTAGGTGAAACTCATTTATATTCTAGCATCTAATTCATGCATGAAAACTAAGTATGCATCCTTAATAAACATACAAGAATTAGTTATGAATAAAATAGATAATTGAATTGCAATCACAACTTATCAAATCACAATTGGAGGAAATCAATTCAAATCTCAAGCATGTTCATGGCTTCAAACTTCCCCCTAACTAAATAGCGGTTTAGCCACTCATAATTGCAACAAAATTAGAAAATAATAAAGTAGACATTGAAAGCAAGAACGAAGTACACCTAAAATGCTCCAAAGTTCCAAGCTTGAAACGCCAAGGACCTTTGTTTTCACCACCTTGTTGTAGCACAAGTGTCTAGGATGTGTATGGATATATGGATGGAATGGATTTGCACGGCTAAGAGATGAAAGTGTATGGATTGGTGAGATGTAGTATTGCTAGATGAATGGATGGAGGTCACTACAAGGAAATTGTGTTTGTGAATGAAATGAAGCTCTTTTGATGGATCAAGATTGTACCCCTTTGGAAGAGGGGTGGTGGATGTATTTATAGGCTAGGGAGAGGACCACTCCATTTCCTTTGCATGTGCAGATTGCATGGGTGTGTGATGTCCATGTTTCTCCTTTCCTTTTGCACACACATGCTTCATCATTTCAGCCACCAATCCACCCATTTTCTGCCCATGTTTCTCCTTTCCTTTGCATGTGGGTGTGTCTTCTCTTTCTAGCTGTGCATTTCCACTTGCTCCAAAGCCAAATGAGTGCAATCATAACCCCATTTGCTGCTGAGTGTTGATGACAAAGCAAAACACAAAACAAGTGCCTTTACTTTCTCATTTTATTAGCCAAATCTGCTTAGCCCTTTTCTGAACCTTTCAGTGTTACAATGCCCATAACTTCTTCTAGAAAAATGATATTACCAATCCGTAAATTTCTCAAGAAAATAGACATCTGTAGCTTTCCAAGCATATAAGGCTCATTCTCTCATTCATTCGGAGCTGTTCGTAACATGCTTCCAAAGTCAGCTAATCTGCACAGGCAGTTTTGACGAATTTGTTGGCTGTCCATGTTTCTCTTTTGCATATGCCTTGTATAATGTTGTCTCCATGTTCTTGTGGCAGAAATGTTAAGTAATGATGAAGGGTTGCTACTGCACAAGTGTGAAAGATGGTGCTCAAGGCCTCTTTGCATGTGTGTGTATGTCCATGTAATCATCATTTCCACATCTTCATTCTTCATTTTCTGATTTCCTGCTGCCCATGCCGTGTGTTTCCTTGCATTCCCATGTGTGTGTGCTGCCATCTAGTCATCATTTCCACATGTACAAGCTGTCACACTTGCACACACACATGCTCTTCATTATTTCAGCCACAATTCAACTCACTTTCTCTCCATGCCGTGTGTGTGTTGTCTTTGCATGTGGGTGTCTTTGCATGTACCTTGCATGATGTTGTCTCCATCACATGGCAGCTATGATGTTTGTTAGTTGTAGGTCACACACTTACACACATATGCTAAATTCTAATCTTCCCAAAACGTCCATCCTCATGTCTCCAAGTGCATGCAATCCATTTCATCCCAAAATTGCTCTAAAATGCACCAAAATGCACTTTTCTTGCCATCTTTGTTATTAGGACCTACAAACATACGAAAATGGTTTAAAACACTCTTATAAGCAATAACTAACTAAGTAAGTGTAAGAAAACATGTTAACTAAGTCGCATAAATATGCTCCTATCAACACCCCTATATAAACACCCTCATTCTCTCCGAAACTCAATTCCAATTCTCTTGCTAAATTCTTTAAATTCTCCAAACAATTTTCCATCAAAATTCTAACTTTAGGATCGGAGGTTCTTTGGACAAAGCCCCCACCCCCACCCCCCCCCAAAAAAAAAAATCATCGTGTGCACGTGAGGCTCTTGGCATTGACGTAATGTGTTATTTGTTTTGTAGGTGCAATTTTGTCCAAGAACAAGGAGGAAGAAATTTGCATACACAAATTGGTGCTTTCATTGAGAGCTGGGTCACACGCTCGTAGAAGACTCTCGCATCTAAGGTTTTTTGTTCCTTTGCTTATTTGTAGATTTTTCGTACGTTCTTCTTCTTGGAATTTTTTTTTCTAAAAATTCTTTGATAAAACGTAAAAAAAAAAGTACAATGGCAAGAGATTTGGAAACCTCAACAAACAGAAATTCCAACATTCAAAGATCAGGACCACGACGATCTACAAGGCTCAACATAGCAGTGAGCGAAGCGGCACCCCCACGACGCACCACCGTGGCAACCACCTTTGCCACTTCAACCGTCGAGGGCCCAAGCCTTAGCCTCGCACCCATGGGTGCCACACTCCGATCAGCCCACTCCCATGGGCCAACCTGCTTCCGCGGCCCAGCTTGCTCCCGTGGCCCAGTCTGCTCCCACAACCCAGCATGCTCCTGTGGCCTTCCAAGCAACCCGAAGTAGGACAATGGTAGATGAAGAACCTCTCCAACAGCGTCTTGGAAATTAGCCACTGGACCAGTCACGAACCGAGCATTTGGGCAGTGTACACTCCTAATTGGGCCCCCGAGATAACGTATACTCCCGTTTTAGCTCGCGGAGGAGCGTGCACTCTCGA